AAAGGAGGCAAGCTCGAGGGAGGCTTAAGCATGGCCGTAAAATGAGCCAAACCAAACAACCGGGAACCAGAATCCCTAACCCCGAAAACACAGGAACAGGTCGCAATTAAGAAAATAGAGAAACGTGACGACACAGAAGTTGAGACGAAACAAAGCTACACAAGCATCTAAGAAGGATGCATTGGTCTCTGAAGATATAGCGAGGATAAGGTTCGCGAATCTAAAACTGCACCCCTGAGTGAAAAAATGGACCCGGGAGTTTGACTTTTATCCATCTCGTCAATCTTGCATCTTAGTTCTTTTAGTTTACGCTTTTGGTAGTCATCTGAGCTTACTGAGAACTGTCTGGAAAACGGTTTTAATAGCAATTTGTTGAAATCGATAATTTTTCTAATTTCTTAACAATTATCTTTTTTGGATCAAGTTGTGAGAAAATAGATTCGAAGAGGCGACCGGAAGACATCCTCGATATGTTCCAGATTGACAATTTGGCTACGGAGGAGTGGGAAGTAGTGACAGACCAACTGCTACGGAGAGAGGTCCAGAAAAAGACGGTTGAAATAAGAGTGAAGAAAACCGAAAAGAAAGAGGAGAGCAAAGTTAGGAGAGGTGCACACCCAACCAAAAACAAAGAAACATCGCAATTCGGGGACCGATCAAGCATTCAATCAAGGAAGCATCCAGAGACTCAGAAATAGCACAGATACACGAAAGCCGCTTAAAGGAGGCGTTAACAAACTATAGAATGATGCTAATCAGTTTCAAGCACAGAGACAACCGACCGATCAAATCAAGGCTAACTCTAATGAAGCGCCATCTTTCCCGAAGATAATTCGGATACAGAACCTTAGATCCGGATGTAAACTGGAACCCAATTTGGCCGATAGAGATTGCATCGATTTATGACGACGCAAGCTGTAAATTGATTTCAAAAACTCAGATATAAACTTCAATGATCATTAAAACTTTACCTAGTATAGAAGCTAAAATTTTCCCGTAATCAGGTGAGTGGTGTACTGCATAGGCAGTAACCTTGATGCCATTATTATTATTTAAGAAACAATATATGATCGGGCCAAAGTCGAATGAGATCTAACCTTGCAGCCAATTGTAGTTGGCAGAGTTTTGCTATGATAGAGCGTAACTCGGCAGCTAACTCTTCCTGTGAACTAAGAAAACTCAATTCTGTGAACTACTTGAAACAAACATTTGGTTAACTTGTTAGTCTACACAACTCAGAGTTCCTTAGAGTATCATAAATGCCTTTGACGGAAATTTTCATAATATCTGAAAAAACTAATCGTCCTGAGCAAAAAAAACATAAAAAGTTTCATTTTTTTGATTGATGATAATCAGATAATCAGTTTTCAAAAATGATCTTAGAGAAAAGTCCGAGAATAAGTTTTTGCTGTCAAAAAATAACTTAATCCAAAATGCGTTTTTGAATCATTTTATTATTGTTTTTCTAAATAAAACACACGTGCTAGATGTTATATGTTTCAAAAATTTGGTCCAAAAAATTCAAATTTCGAGACCATCAAGGTGCAATGGTATAACTCATTATTGACAAAAATCGAAATAACAAATTAAGAAAAAGAACAAAATAAACTAAAATTTAGCCTTATAATTGCACCAAAACCATCAAAATTTATCATTGCTATTCAGATATTGGGCAAAAACTTAACTACCAAATCATAAAAATGGTCAATATAAATCGAAATGTGAGTTGAAAATATACAACAAAACTATAGAAAGTCATCATCCTAAATCAGATTTTGGACAAAAGCCTAAGTAAAAAACAAAGAAGTGGGTTACAATAAGCCAGATTTTGAGATCAAAATATGCTAGAAAATCATAAATTATCATCGATATTTTAAAAACTATTTAAATTTTTTATTTTGCTATCATACGCTATGGATGTAAACTGAAAAATGGTATGCGCTAAAACGCAACACAAACTCGAAATGGGTGAAACTCGAATGAGAAAAATATACTTAAATTGATTTAATGTAAATCCGTTTCAATCCTCCTAAAAGATACAAAAAAGTAAGTCTGAAGAAAATGGATTTGAATTGATTGAAAAATGATTTGGATCTCATTTTGTATCTTGGATTTAAGATCAATTTAAATCGATTTACAATTGATTCAAATCAATTTTAGCCTTTTCTATATAATCTTCGTACTTTTTTATACTAAAATTGATCTCAATCAAATCTACATGGTTTTTTCATACTAAAACTGATCCTAGCTCTGATCTAAAACTGATCATACTAAAACTGATACTAAAAACTAATCGTCCTGAGCAAAAAAAAACATAGAAGTTTCATTTTTTTGATTGATGATAATCAGATTATCAGTTTTCAAAAATGATCTTAGAGAAAAGTCCGAGAATAAGTTTTTGCTGTCAAAAAATATTTTTACAAAATTGCGTTTTTGAATCATTTTATTACTGTTTTTCTAAATAAAACACACGTGCTAGATGTTATAGGTTTCAAGAAATTGGTCCAAAAAATTCAAATTTTGAGACCATCAATGTGCAATGGTAAAACTCATTATTGACAAAAATCGAAATAACAAATTAAGAAAAAGAACAAAACAAACTAAAATTTAGCCACATATTTGCACCAAAACCATCAAAATTTATCATTGCTTATCAGATATTGGGCAAAAACTTAAGTAACAAATCATGAAAATGGTCAGTATAAATCAAAATTTGGTTGGAAATATACAACACAACTAACGAAAATCATCATCCTAAATCAGATTTTGGACAAAAGCCTAAGTAAAAAACAAAGAATTGGGTCACATTAAGCCAGATTTTGAGATCAAAATATGCTAGAAAGTCATAAAATGTCATCGATATTTTTAAAACTATTGAAATTTTTTATTATGCTATCATACGCTATGAATGTAAACTGAAAAATGGTAGGCGCTAAAATGCAACACAAACTCGAAACTGGTGAAACTCGAATGAGAAAAATAGACTTAAATTGATATAAAGTAAATCCGTTTCAATCCTCCTAAAAGATTAAAAAAGTAAGTCTGAAGAAAATGGATTTGAATTGATTTAAAATTGATTTGGATCGATTTTTGCAGCTTGGATTTAAGATCAATTTAAATCAGTTTAAAATTGATTCAAATCAGTTTTAGCCTTTTCTATATAATCTTCGTACTTTTTTTATACTAAAATTGATCTCAATTAAATCTACATACTTTTTTCATACTAAAATTGATCCTAAACCAATTTTGTCAGTGCGGGTTGGTCGGCAAATAAAAACAAATAAGTCGAACACAGTCGAGCGCAATTTTACTTTGATTGAGATGGTGAAAAGATAGCCAAGGCAAAACCATTTGAGTCGAGTCGCTCGAAACATCAGTTAAAAACTCCTATCGTGCGCCAGATTTTGAACTAAATGCTACTTTGATCTATCTAACAAGCAGCTTAAAATAAATTTAAAAAGAGATGAGCCAACTTGCATCAGGGTGTTCAATTAGTTCTGGGTAGAGGTGGTTGAATTATGTATCAAATGTCGTGTCCGTTCTGGGCTTTGTGATTCGAAAGATGTCTATTGTCAATTTTGATGGCCGAACACTTGCAGTCAACGCTGGTTGACTTTAGTCGGCTTTGCGCGACCTTGTCAACTTGTCTCAACCATTTCGACTTTGATTTTTCCTGTTTGAGTTTTATCAATATCGTCAACCTTGCATCTGAGTTCTTTTAGTTTACGCTTTTGGTAGTCATCTGAGCTTACTGAGAACTGTCTGGAAAATGGTTTTAATAGCAATTTGTTGAAATCGATAATTTTTCTAATGTCTTAACAAATAATATTTTTGGATCAAGTTGTGAGAAAATTATTTCAGACTGATGATTTAATTAGATGAGCCTTTTTAACCCATACTATGAGCCCATCCAAAAAACCTTCATGAACAGTAGCAGATTATGGGGGGGGGGATTCGACCCCCTGCCGACCCAAAGGGTCCCCCCTCTGTACTATTTTCAGATATCTATTTTTCTTGAGGTACCCTAAAACTTTTCTAAAGGCGCCTTCGGCGCCAATATATACTAATTTTTGCGGGTGGAGCGCGCGCAGAAAAAACGCGATGTTTTGGTCAATATTTTTCAAAAAGTGCCAAAAAACGCCTGTTTTGGCTCGTTTTTTCAAAAACTTGCCCGCGGCGCAGAAACTTTGGTCAAAATGGATTATTTACATTGATTTGGGAGGGCTCAGAAAATCAATTTGGTCGATAAAGAATTTCGAAATTTTTTTGAAAATTACCCCTTGAGAAAATCCTTGATCCGCCCCTTTTTATGAAGTTTCTTTTTTGTATTGAACATTTATTTTTCCGATGAACCAAAAGGTGGCCCATTTTGAGGTTTTTTGGCAGCATTTTTGTGGCGCAAAACATCTAAGAGTTACAAAAAGTTTTTATATTATACCTTATATATATTTTTATACCTTATATTTTACCCTATTGTTATTGTCAGTTTATGTATCGAATCTGTTGACCGTATTCGACCTTGGTCGCAATAGCGGATTTAGAGGGGGCGGGGGGGGGGGGGAGAACGTCTGCCGACTTCAAGGGTTCCCCCTTTGTACTATTTTGAGATATCCATTTTTGGCTGACTGAACTTAAAGTTTTTCTAAAGGTGCCTTTGGCGCCAATCTATACTAATTTTGAGCGGGGAGCGCGGGGAGCGCAAAATTTTTTCAAAAATTTGACTGCCCCGCAGAAAATTTGGTCAAATTACGGTCTTTATAAAGGTTTGGGAGAGCTCAGAGAATCAATTTGGTCGACCTAAAAAAAAGAAAAAGGTTGGCAAAATTTTCAACTTTTTTTTGAAAATCTGCCGCGCCCCTCGAGAAATTCCTAGATCCGCGCCTGCTTGGTCGACTGAAGTTTCGGATCAAGTTAACATCCCCCACCCCCATAACCGACCCTGCCGTGAAGCATCTGTCATAGTTTTTCGGGACCCAACTAGCAAGAATGAGAGTTCTTACGCATGCTGGTGAGCTGTCCGTCGAGCTGGGTATTCCTGGCGTAGTGGTCGGACACGGTGGGGATGTAATCTGAGGAGAAGATGTTCTCAGTGTACCTAACCAGCAGGGCAGTCTTACCCACCGCTCCATCCCCCACAACCACTATCTTGATCGCTCTCATCACTACTGCTTTCGCGTTTATCCTCAACTAGGGTATACAATTGCGATAGAGGAGCACCGACCAAATGCAGGGTCCCTTTTGTAAAATGAGTTAAAAAACAGCCGAGTAAAAAAACAGCCGAAGTATAAACCAGCCGAAAAAGCGAGTATAAAAACCAGCCGAAAAAGCGAGTATAAAAACCAGCCGAAAAATTACATCATATAAATGAAATTTGCATAACTTTCGTAACTGTTAAATCATTGTTACAAAACTAAATTACTATTACATAACACTTACGTAGTTTCGGCTGGTTTATACTTCGGCTGGTTTATACTTCGGCTGGTTGATACTTCGGCTGGTTTATACTTCGGCTGGTTTATACTTCGGCTGGTTTATATACCACCATGTAAAATATATTGACATGTTTTCAACATTTTATTTTTTCTGAAGAATTTAGTGTTTCAGTGACTGAGCAGATCAAATCAAATCTAGAAAGTCAAGTGCATGTCATCTTATTTGAGAAAAAGTATTTTGAAAACGGTCGAGCAGGTTGTTTTAACTCTCTGCATTACTGTGATATGGGATCCCACCCTCTATCACAATTGTACTTGTTATAACAAAGATGACCCAACCAATAATAACACCAATCAAATTGAACTGCAGAAACGGCAAATGAACAAATTGAATTAAAAGATAATTGAATTATATTTGTGTTATATGAAATTAAAAATTAAGGTTCCAAAAGTGAGATAATTTTGAGATGTTTTCTGCAAAGTATTAGAGACGACGGTGGCGGTTGCGGTAATTAAAAGTAAAATCTCTGGCAAAAAATAAATTACAACCGAATAATGATGAGGAACACGACAGAACAGGATCAAATTTTCCGGAATTTCAGCAACGTTTCAGACTAAGTGTCGCGGTGATTTATTGGTGTTAGATAATAGAAATTTGGTTTGTAGTTATAACCATACAAAAAGCGCTTTATTTGCATCAAATAAATCAAAATGTAGCTGAAGTTTGATCAGGGTTGTGATATGGTTTCAGTATACACAGCAAACGGAGTCTGCTAAGTGGCAATACTTTCGAAAGGTGTCTATTAAAAAATGTTTCGAAAGAATGACAAACACTTTGTAATGTATGAAGAACTCGAACCGAGCTATCGGATTATTAGTTTTTGTTCTTCAAAAACAGTAATGACTTTTGTTGTGAATTTACACGGCCGATAAACCAACTAATAATAGCTGAAATGAATTGAATGACTTTCGTTAAGTAATGGTAGTTATGATTATGATATGCACCTTTGAATTAATATCATTGATTTTTTATCTAGATGTTTGCATTGATTAAATTCTACTCTGAACAAGTTGAGATAGGACTTTGAAAATATAACGAAAATACAAAACGCGAAAAACGTTTTAGAACCAAATCGTCGCTAAATGGTGCAAATAGTGTACATTTCTTTCTATAATGTTACACATAAAGAAAAAGAAAAGCTGTCTAGCAAAAAAGTCCGCAAACCAAAATAGAAAATCGGCGGCCGGCCTTCTTTATTATTAGCTAACTTTTGTCACATAACAAAATAATTGCAGACAAACTATGCAGACAAACCGACCAAAAATTGATTGTTTTGTGTATCTGTTAAAAAAATTGAAAATTATTAAATTTTTTCATATTTTTTGATAGACTGATCCAAAACTGCGCATTAGACAAAAACATTTTTATATGGTGATTTCACATAGTTGAAAATCTGTACTATCATCATGGGTAGCGCCCAACAAAATCAGTTTGAGATGCAAAAGCCTTACCTACGTACACACGTACTGTTCTGAATCTGCCCGCACTCAGTAAAAAGAGAATTTAATCGATTATATTACAATTCTAATTGAACTTTTATCAAAACTATAATTAAATATAAGCGCCAAACTTAGAAGTTTAAACAATTTATAATCCATTATAAAAATAACATTTTTCTTGACATTATATTAAATTATAATCAATTATAATTGATTATAATTTTTCCGAAAATCTCTTATAATCTCTTATAATCAATTATAATCTATTATAATAGATTATAATCCTTTTTTGTGTCACAAATCTTTAAAAGTGAGTTGTCATGTCACTCTTTGGTTCACCTGAAAACAAAGTTTTACCACGAAACAAAAGTTTCATAGAGTTCCTTTCATATTAGTTGAAAGACTCCCGCGGTAGATGAAAAATAAATCTTAGGAATCAATCATAAAACTAAATCAATTTGCTGATGTTTCGGTGGGTAAGAAGCTTAAAATATGCATCACAAAACAACTAAATTGGGGGAAAAAAACCTTTTAAATTTGAATTGATTGGAAAACTTTAAATGTGCATCATGAAACAGCTATAATCAAGAAGAAAAGAAAAAAACCGTTATAAATTCGAATTGATTTGAAAACTGTTAAGTCAAATTTTGCGTTCTTCACATTAACCCTTGTCTACGAAAAGCTAAAAATTAAGCCATCCAGGTAAAAGGTTGAAAACAACATGGGCAAACAAAAGGGATATTAGCAATTATAATCGATTGTAATAGATTTTTCTGCAAAACGAATGAATAATAAATTCGGGTAAAAATAATCGATCAGAATTGGTTACAATGAATTACAACTGATTAGATTTGATTTCAAAAAGAGAGATTACAATCCATTAAAAATTGATTTTGATCAATTTTTTCTCAATTTTTGTAAGACTGGTACTAAAATCATATTATAATTGATTTTTTACGCTTGAAACTGGATGCGGGTGCTTCTCTGAATACTTTTGTGAATCTGAACTCTGAAACATTTTAGCGTGCTGCCAAAAATTCCACTTTACGAGTTTTCTTTGAGGTAGTCAAAATTTCAAAAAAATTACCCTGTTCGTCATAACCTATAAAAATACACTTTAAGCCATAAAAAAAAGAAACATACAGTAGATTTTCGAGTCATCCGCGCACCGAAGTTTCATAGATAGTAACCGATTTTATTGATTTTTTACTGAATTTCAAACAAACTTGATTATGACCAATTAAATACGGATTAAAATCTCAGAAAATATCATATCATTTTAATCCATTATTTTCGTTTATAATCGGTTATAATGGCTTTTATCTGGGGTTGATGTTGGTGTGAAAACACGAAAGGTATTAATTATGTTCATTTATAAAACAACTGTATCACTCAATTACCTTAATCTTACTCTTTGTTTTAGCCAACGCAAGACAAGATAGAGTTCACAAGGTCAAATTATCAGGTCCCCAGACGGATCCAAAGAATTAACATAACGGAACTAAGCTTGCCCTATGTCATTGGGACAACCACAATAAATGTTAGATCCTCAGATAGATTTTATAAATACCAAACAAAACACTGTTCGGTACTATAAACGGTAATTGTATGTAACATTGATGCACTTGTATATTATTTAAAAAAGTTTATCCGCCTTGCAATATTTTGAATTGAAATTTTTGGCTTCAGCTGCCGGGTCTCTCCCTGGGCTCTTTTAGAATTTTCCTTTGCGGTTAATTTATTTCGACAAGACTGTTTACCATCACGCCATCCACTTTGATAGCTCCTTTCTGCTGCCTTATCGATCCTCGAATAGGTTCCCCGGTTGTTCCTTGTTCAACCCTTGATTACCTGATACTACCGCTTGCTCGTTTCCCGAAGATTCGGTTGTTTCGGCCTTCTTACTTTTGCTCGTCGCCCGCTTTGTTCTCGGTTACTGTCTTCTTCTGGCTTGTCGCACTGTTACGTTTGCTCTCGTCTTCATCATTGCTGTTCGCGTCGCTACTTGTATCCACAACTCGCCGTATTTTTCTTGATCTCTCCTCCGTCTCCGGCTTCGACCGTTTTTTTCAGGTCAACTGTTGGTAGACTGGTTTCAATAGCCGCCGATTTGTCCTCCAGCTCTCTCGTCCCGTCTGAAATTATGATTTTTGAACTCGGACTTGCGGTGCTAGTTGACTTAGGACCCTAGGTCACCACCGCCTCTGTTTGCATATCTCTTTGACTTCCGATCCAAAAAAAACATCGCTTCGTCTTAGTATGGATTCCTTATTCAATTGTGCCGTATGTGAAATTATTTTTCAATTATGGAAGCTAGACGCTCTTACCTCCTTGGTCGTTTGAATCTGTTATCCCGGTCTTCTGGTACACCACAGTGGTACTATTTTTGTTCCGTTTGAGCCACGATGGTGCATTTGGTGCGTCAACTTCCGCAAATTCAAGTTTGTCCAGTACTGGAGGTGACTTTCTGTTTTGCGGACACTTCTAGACTAGGTAATTCCTCTTTTCTTAGTCCAAGTTTGTTTCGATTTTCGCTAGTCTACTTGCCTAATCTAAACATTTTTACTTTTGATATTTTTCATTCTTCCAGACTAGATTTTTAAGTGACTGTTTTTTGTAAAATTTTGCAGTACAATGTTGGCTTCTCTTGCATGGTGTGCCTGGAACAGTGTTAATTTAGTTTTGATTTGTGGTACAAAACGTAAGGCGTTTAAAACTCTTAAGATCATGTTTTTTATTTTCTGATTTCCCTCTTCCCGTATGTATGTTAAAACCCGAGTTTTTTTTGAAGCGATGGTTTTTTCGACCATACCTGTAGCTCGGTGGTCTTTTACCCTGAATTTTTTCATATGCCGATAGTTAATGTGCAAATGCGTCGACGGCTACGAGAACGAATTCTTTGGCACTTTTATAGAGTCGACAGGGCCCCAAAATCTATTTGTACTAGATCATTCGATTCCTGTGGTTTATAGGTACTACCTATATCTCCCTTCTGGTATATCAGGCTTAAGATTTTTACCTGCCTCCAGGCATTATTGCAGAATTTGCAGTTGCTGATAAGTTTCGATGCGTTAAGAGGATCCATACATTTTTCGCCGCCGCGATCATCTTGTCCATCCCGTGATGGCTGACGTGCAGCCTGCTAAGTATTCAGTTAAACATGTTTTTTGCGATCACCAACCGGCTGTCTATCCAAAGACAGTTTTCTAGTACAGATAAGTCGTTGAAGTCTTGCGCATAATACTGTCTTAGCAGGGTAATTGCCTTCTTCGCCCGTGGGTTGTTTTCCCTCATGTCATCTCGGATCCTTCTCGAGTATCGGATCCTTCTCGAGGTTAGCCTCAACGAGTTTCAAATAGAACACTTTCGGGATTTATTTTTCCTTTACCACACGGCAATCTGTAGGGACGATCGAGCAGAACCATTTCCCACTGTTTACAAGAGGAGGGGAGAGGACCGGGAACTGGTGGAGAAGGAAATGATCGTGTTTAGCTTCTTGAAGGCGCTTGATTTTGTCTGCAGTTTTTTTTTCGGAGGGAATGATTTCGAGATCAGAGTCTGAGCTGAAACTAGGGTGTTGACTTAACCCTAAGAGTCGGTTGAGTACGACAATGAGGTTTACATTCACTGATTGGTTTGAATTATTCACAAATGTTTAGTTGAATTTCTAACCGCTTCCGTTTTTTTTTGGTGAATTGAATGCTGACATTTTAGAAATAGGAATTTGGGTAATTAAATTCGATGAGCAACTGGATGTAGAAGGATGAGAATAGCGTCTGTTTTTGGTTCGGCTGTATTTGCAAATTTCTTTCGGTATGCAAATTTATTGCTTGTGGTGGGCTCACCGCCGGATGCATGCGACTGTGCCAATACCGGCTGCCTATTTGCATATTCAAGATTTTTCAGATTTTTATTGGTTATGAGTACATTGCGTGATCAGTTGCTTGATTGCACGCCCTCAACAGCTGGCAAATTGCTTGACTATCTGGCCCATAGGTTTCAATGTGTCACCAGGGTTTAAGGCTTTAATTATCAAATTAACTTTTGCTACTGTAAAATTGGCATCGTAATAACTTGTTTCCTGTGCTTCTGCTGAGAGGAAACACAATAAGTAATCAGCCATGAATTTTTTTGATACTTGGAAGTGTTTGACTTAAAGCTTGTAGGGTTTTAATCGATCCTATACTTGCGTTATTTTACTGAAAATGTTTTGTTTCTTTTTGGGACGAATTTGGGAGGGTCAGTAGCGCTCTATAATCTGGTATAGTTGTGAGATATTGCTCAAAAAGGTAGTTTCGAAACTGTTTGGTTGCTCATACTGCGGCGATTAGTTAAAAATTGTTTTTTAATTGTTTTTTTTTTTGAGAGCATGATGTACATAAAAAACGACAGGGATGATCATTCCTGGGCTGCCCAGGAAGGGCAATTAATCATTCATGCGTCCAATCTCAACTTAATATCCGGTATGCGATCGGCTGGGACTGGGGAGTGGGGGTAGGGCTTACCCACACTGAAAAATTATTAATAAAAAAATTGAAATTAACCAGAGAAACAGGTGACCTAGAAGCAGAATCAGGCGAGGATCC